TGTAGCTGGCACCTAAAGAAATACGGTTGCAGCTGTGCTGGTGAAGTGAAGTGGGGGAGGGCAGGGGGTCTTCCGAGGCCAGGTTTCATGGTACTTTATCGAGCCTAGCATGGCTTTTATTGAGCAACGTGATTCAAAACCATATTAGATCACCACGCACTTTGAGACATGGACGAAGACGGAACACACGAAGAGAAGCGCTGACTAAAGATTGAATATTACTTAGGAGGTACACAGGAGTGTAAATATTCAGAATCGCCCATGTGAAAGTGCATGCTGTTGAAAGCATCATTTGACCACGGTAACACATAACCATTTGCTCAACGTTAAAAAAAGCGTGTTTAGGGATTTAGCTTCTCGAAAGAATGATAACTCTTTTATGGATAGCGTCATGAGATTTATTGGTCCCCTTTTTTAAAGACGACAGTGTTTCTTGGAGGCCTTCGATCAAAAAAATTGGCCCCTTATCTGCTTGTAATCTGCAAATGTTGTCGAAAGACGATAGTCTTGCGTGTGGAGAGGGTAAACAAGACATTTATTTGATGTTCTGCGCAAGAAAATTGATGAATGGTATTCTGGAGGCGCTGCGTTAGAGTGCCTCTAACGTGCAGCGAAGGCGAACGACTACATATTTTTTATCCGCTATTCAAAATGCTCTACCAGTTGTGAGGCATAAAGTCGCATACCTTCTTCGTTCACAGATAATTTAGGCTCCCCTCTAGAATCCACTGTTTGTAGGTTCTTGATTCCGGCTATTCAGAAAATTCGATTCAGTATGCTGCCCCGCCGTGGTGGTCTAGTTGCTAAGGTACTCGGCTGCTCACCCGCAGGTTGCGGGATCAAATCCCGGCTGTGGTGGCTGCATTTCTGACGGAGGCGGAAATGTTGTAGGCCCGTGTGCTCAGATTTGGGTGCACGTTGAAGAACACCAGGTTGTCGAAGTTTCCGGAGCCCTCCACCACGACACCTCTCATAATCATATGGTGTTTGTGGGACGTTAAACCCAACATATCAATCAATCAAACAATTCAGTATGCTAATATTTATTTATGCTGCCGTTCATTCTGAACATAGAAGCTCCGAGCGTCGATGTCTTTAGTGTGAACGTGAAGATGCATTTGAATAAGAGACAGCTTAGCTAGTTGGTTGGTATTCATAATAAATTGAGAGATGTCTGTGGTGCCTTGACTTTTTTGTTCGGACCTTGTTTATGGACTTCTCTTTTTAACATTAAAAAGTATAGTGACTGCTGATTTCTCCAGGGCGGGTCTATCGATAGCCGCTGTTGACATTAAGAAGAAGGTTCGTTCTTCCGTCCAAAAAACAATAAAAATGCAATCATCGTGCGTCTGTCCCAAAGCCGAGTACCTCCTTTCCCCATTGTAAAGCTACACTAGGCTAGGTGATGGATGATGTTCAAACCTCCTGTTTGTACGTGTGTGTCTGCCTCTACGGAATAAACGCCTACCTAAACAAATGCCCCTTCAGGCGTCATACGTCTATACGCACGCCGTCGTATGTATTCGAAAATGTTGCCACAAATTTCAAATATTGAACTTCTTCGAATATGTTTATCACTGATGTCCGCCACATAAATCACTCAATGCAGCTTGAAGACTTGACAATATTTTTTAATGAATTAGGCGGTATAACAAATGATGTTCTGCCTTCAAGTACCACAGAATGTAACCACCACAAAGTTCACCTTGGTGGCTTCATCATCTTTTGAACGAATATTTACAAGTGTATAGCACATTCATATGTCATTCGATCAAATACTTATAACAAATGCATGCTTCTGTATTTATGTATTTCAGTAAGTCACAAATCTTTATGTAAACATGTCTTTTTACGGCTCGCAAGCTTTGACTGTGGACGTGATCACTTTTCATCGGTCTTTTTTTTCAGCATAGACAACTAATGTGGTACTGATAAGAAGGTGTCTGTATGAGTTGTGCATTCGTGTTGACACAATGCTACCATGTCCTTGGTTGACAGAAAGTACGAGAGGTGACAACGTGTTTCAAAAATGTTGCAAGCAATATATGACTGCGCTATTGAAATAGATTCATGCTGTAACCGGGTTAGGTGGGAAAAATATAAGTAACAGCACACAAGGGGATCATGGCATGGAGCACTGACACATAGACCAGGCATGATACCAGTAGATGTCAGCGCACCAAACAAGAAGTACGGATGGCGCATTGTGTTACGGGCTATCAGGGCGCTGACTACGCTAAACTACACTGCGAAAATGAGAACTTAAATTGTGAAGTGGTCTTCGTCATTAAAGCCAAGTGGGCGCTGTCCTAATTCTTTTAAAATGTCGATCTGGAATGCGTGAAAGCACTTGTTGATAACGGCGGGACAAATCTTTAGCCTAGGGTTAAGGTGGGTAACGATACCCTGCCGCGGTGGTGTAGTGTATAAGGTACTCGACTGCTGTTCCGCAGGTCGCGGGATTGAAACCCGGCTACGGCGGCTGCATGCTATAGAACTCCAGGTGGTCTAAATTTCCGGAACCCTTCATTATAACGTCTCTCATAGTCATATGGGGGTGTTAAAACTTTATACTTCCAAAAAATTAAGTATGCCAACAGTGTAAAGCACGCAGTAAAAACATTTTCCAAATATACAACAAATGTTGCAGCAAACTTGACAGAACAATAGCTGAACATGTTGGGCACCGTCTTCCGCAACAAACTGCCGGAAGACACGCTATGATAATATGGAGCCTTTCTTAAGCACCTGTTAATCCATAACAGTTCAGAGCGCACTCAGAGACACGGACGAAGAAGGGACTCACGAACACAAGTGCTGAATCTGACTAACAAGTGAATTTGATTTCGAAAGAATATGCGAGAATGAATATGCAGAACTGCAATTGCGGATCTTTTGGCCGTGATAACACGTTATCATTAACTCAAATTTAAAACAAATGAGCAGACCTTACGTACTCGGGAATCAACTTTATGCGAATCACGTGGAGGGTAGGTTGTTAAACCTCACATATCAATCAGTAAATCAAGAGTTGGTAACGATGAAAGGGTCGCATATCACTAAGCGCCTCGATATTTAAAACGAAGGTACCTTACTGAAGAAGATGCGGCATCATCCGTAGTGTTGTGAAGCCAGCACACCAATCTCGCAGAAGGTAGCTGCGATGACTTTTAAGAACAAGCTTTCGCATGCCTTGAAAACGGTAGTCCAGCTGTATAACGTCAAAGTCATAAAGCAAAGGTGCCCCTTTGCTGACTGTGTGGAAGGCGTGCTTTACAAAATCCATTGAGCGTGCGGAAACACGTACGTTAGGTTCACTGGCAGATGCGTTAACGAAAGTCGTAGGAAGCATGCGAGTCTGAGAAACGCGCGTGGTGAAAATGTCTGTTAAGGTTTCTTAGCTAGTTATTATGTAACCTGTTAGGAAGGCACTCCTGACAAAAGGAGCACTCCTGTCATTGTTAAGGGGAAAACTTTGATTACATTACTGAAGCATATAGCGTTGCCTATCAGAGATGGGTTTGTGTGAGCGTGTTATGCCGAAAATGCACTAATAACGAGATGGATGGGGTTGAATTACGTGTCAGGAAGTAGGAATATACGTGAAATTTTTACAATAAACGTTCTTGGAAACTCAGCAGTATTCATCGTCATTCTCATTCCTTACGTCTGTAGTGTGTTTTTGTGCTGGATTGTGCCAGAGCTATGTACCAACAAGTCTAACTCGCCACTTTTAACCACCTGAAGACTCTAACATGCTCTGACATCATACTCTGACGTGGTTTTCATACCACACCTCGGGAAACTTCATGATAGCTTGCGAAATCTGACTTGACGTCCTTAGTCACGCTTACTGTCGAAATGGAACCATGAGAGACGCCACGACACACCACCATTCATATGATGGCGTCATCTGTTCGTCAAACATCATAACTTTGTGAAAAGCGTTCAGATCTTGATGAGCAAACGGGGGCAGAAGCACATCGGCATGACTGAGAACACACAAAACAGATATAGTCTTCATAAAACACAGGTCTTAAACCCGCGCACCGCGGACGTGAAGCTACTTGTGAGCTTGGCGCATAACTGACTTGGTCCTATTCTTTCATGTGCAAAGTAATTTATGGAACCAGACTGCGTCGTATGCTGTTGTCGCTGTTTGGCGTGATCCTGGCGAAACAAGGCAAAACATAGCCATCTGAGCACACGCTTGCAGCAAAAAGGTGTCTTCTTCCGAGTAACGATGAAAAAATTAGGTGGGGAGCACTTTTTTCATTACCACTAATAAAAATGAACAAAGAGAGAAATGACAAGAATATTAGGTAAAATAAAGAAATAGAACAAAAATTATATGTATACAGATATAAAAAAACAGACAGAACAATGTGGAAGAGACTTTTGAAAGAAATTTATGTAGCGCGAGGCGAGTAAACGAACACAGGAAAGAATAGACTGAGAGGAAGTTCCTGTTTTCGTTTTTTCGCCTCGCGCTACATAAATTTCTTTCAAATGTTTCACCAACAAGCCCACATCGCCACTCTTGTGGAAGAGACAGTGAAAGAAATAAAAAACAAGGAGAAGCGAAAAAATGTTGCCACCTCCTCACTTCGTTCAAGCTTGGCGCGATTAGTGCGAGGCTGCCTTAAAGCTTTACCATTATTGCGTATGTTCATAAGGCCCACAAAAACGACTAGTCTGATGAATGTCGCCTTGAGGCCCCCACTGTGGCAACCAGGTTTTAGTGCATACAGGAGAGAAAAAAAATGTATAGTTTGAGTCGGCTCCTAGTTTCAGTCGTCTTTAAGATTAGTAATGACATGTTTCTTAAAATCTGATGTCGAATCGCCCTACTAGAAGACTCAAATGTCAGATATCGCAAATACGTTTTGGTAAGGGCAACGTTGGCGGGCATTTTTTTAACCTTCCCCCCTCATCTCATCAATCTTCTCAACCTCGCTGGCCCTTGCGATATGCTAAGTTTTTTTACGGTGACACGCAGGCTAAGGTGAGTTTGAGACTACCGCTTAGAGGATACGCTTTCGAGAGTTCTGTTTTTACCGTTAGCCTAACATACGCTCAATGAAATTATTACGGGGGTGCCAGTAGCTCTCGCTGTATTGTCGGTATCGCAAAAGTTCTATCTTCTGTGGTAGAGTCGTCCTTGTTTATTATAAGCACAATTATTTAGTCAGTATTGGCCCAATAGCGACCTTACTACGGCAATAGCATCAACACTGTACAACCGTGCAAAAGTGAAAGCATTTTTTTGCGGTGAGTTTCAAGTATTTCTTCTTCATATGAATGCTTCCGTCACACAGTAGCTTTTAAACTTAGACAGTGAAATTTTCTGAGGCCGACCAATCGATTCCTAGACCCTGTGCCAAGAAACTTATATAAAGAGAAGTGAGAATGAGCACGAAGAACACAGCGCTGCACAAAGTTTTTCACTGAAGACCATGTTTTGTGTGTTGACATTGTTTTTGTAATTCCATCTGCCAAATGTTCAATAAACGATCCACACATGGCATGTTACTATACACAGAAAACCTGAGCTCCTGTCCGAGAAAGTGAATATGTTCAAAGAAAGTGATAAAGTATTTCAAATAAATATATGAACTGTTTTCTTTTTCTTAGAGGACAAATTCTCTTGTGAAGTTTTGGTGTTTTCCTCCCTATTATTATACAGTAAACTATGTGTATTGCTTTATATATACTTAGTCTCTTTCACCACTCGCACTGTTTTGTTTCATAGTCACGCCTGGCTGTCTACCTGTCTCAGCTCTTTCTGGCGTCGCCGATTTTGTATGTACAAAAAACGGCGTCACTTGAGGCTTAAACAGCTGCCCTCAACAAATGGCTTATTATGACGTACACATAAGTGCTATGATCATTTATTTAGCATTTTAACCTGATAAACAATAGATACGAATTGAGAAAAGTTTAAAATTCCTGACTTTGTAAACAGGGGCGACGCACGTGCGTAACAGTTCTATCTCTTCAAAGAACGCCCTTGCGTTTGACCGGATAACTTTGTAGAAGTCGGTATATCAAGGAAGCACATGAATTAGGCTGAAAAACTTCGCCGAATGGGGTATTCAAAATTGTAACGCAGTGACGTAAATTACGTCAAGCGCACGTTCATGAATTTTATTAGTGCAGTTAGAGAGGTGGAGCGCCTGCTTGCTTGATAAGTACCGGAGCACGGAAGGTCTATGAGCTGGCTATGTTATGACTTTCTTACAACAACGAGACATTCATACAGTGCGAAATGAAAATAAGATACATTATAAAATATTCCGGGTGCAAGTGACGATCGAAGACGGGTTGTGTGCGTGACAAGAAAGCGTTTTACCACACATATGAGCGTCTGCTTTTTTGTTTATTATTTGGTACTCATTACAGTACTGATTGACCTATATGCTTAGAAACATAGCGAAAATATCTTCTTTCACTTGGAAATGCAGTGAAAGTAACTTTCGTGTTTTAGAAACACACGAGTCATGTGCGTATTCTTCACAATACAATACGTAATATTATTCTAATAATGCTCCGTAAAAGCGAACATATCCATCGGGTGTCAAAGCATGCGATTGCATAGTGACGTCTTGGTTCAAAACTTGGTGTGAACTACAAAAGGTACACTCATTACTTCACCTATTCTATTGAGGGTACGCAGTGCGTGCAGTTTAGTTTGAGAAGACTACACGCACATATTTTACAATAGTTCAAAGCATGCTACCAATTGCACAGAATGTAGCCATGCACGAAAGCTTCACTGACGCAACCCACTTTCAGCGTTATTCATAATATAAACTTATTGAATAGAGCATACAAAAAAGCACGCAATAAGCGGTTGAAGTACGCACTACAGAGAAGATATCGCTGTAACATTCAACTCCTTAAGACGAAGCTTAACCCCGAATGTTGCCTACATGCTGCTGCGGAAATTACGTATTCGTATTATAACGTAAATATGACCTCCTGAATACTGATGCTTCAAGGCCGAATATTTTTGCAATAAAAGCCACGTTACATGAGCTGAAAAATGGCAGCCAAAATATATTTTTACAGCGTGCATCATATATTTTCATGTATTCAAACAACTGTAAAACATCTACTTTTCAGATCTACAACTAAAACAAAAGTAGAAGTGTTACTTTTTATGACGGCAAAAATGCGCCACAATCTGAATTCAGCCATGCAATAGCTTTATTTTCAGCCACATGCGATGCAAAATTCGGTCTAATGTTTTATTTTGCGGCATATTGAGGTAATTGTGGTCAAGCTAGTCAACAAACTTCGGTGTATCTTTTAGACTATGCAATGAACAGTCGAGTAGAAGTAGCTAGGAAGACTGCTAAAAGAGCAGAATCGAGGATTGTTTCGTATTGTCTAGGTACGATCACGTACAAAAAAGCTATGAAAAGAAGTAAAGTCCCGTCCACACTACACTTTTCTTTATTCATCTGCTGCTTGAGTTTTTGCATTCGTCAACCACTCACGCCGTGTTAGCGTGATGGCGTGCGCTGACTGGTACGTTCACTTTGAATTGGGGGTACCAGTTGTTTGTACTGTTTGAAGTTGACAGGACTAGAGGCTTAGCTTGTCACCACAAAGTTCTGAACTATCAATGTTACCTGGTAAAACGTTAAACAGTTTAAAATTGACTCATATTCATAACTAGAGGCTAAATACCGGTGATATTGGCTGCGCTATCCAAAAGAACCTTTAATTTTCATTTAGTCAAAATCACAAAAGTATTGTCGCTTACAGGCACCATAAAATCTTATAAGCTCCATGTTAAGCTTTAATTCATGCGCATTAGGTGACGTTGTGCGACAGAAGCGCATGGAGCAAATTAGTTATGAGCCTAAAACACGGCTTTGATTGATCACGAACGACGATCATGATGACATCGATCATCGACGCGTTGAAGCAAAGCTGTGGAAGAGCAATATACTATAGCTTCAACCATGAAACGCTGATGTCATTGATCAAAAATTTCTACATCAGCATCACCATGCTGATTGGGGCAATAATAAACGACAAAGATAAAGATGTTGAAGTGCATCCGTCATAAAGCATTGTCAGTAGGAGAAACAATGAAGATTAATATGCCGGTAATGTATGCGTGAAACTGCAGGTTATGAAGGAGTTAATTATAAGTGTGAATGATTAAATACCCAATGCACGCAAATACAGCTGCTGGCAACCAAAGTTCCTATGTACGTTGAGTGGACGTGATGGAGGCATTGTAGCTGAATTTAAGAACTTTAGAAGTAAATACATTTCTTTCAGAAGTACAGGAATTCTTTGGTTCTTTTTATTCCGGATACTCACTCTCCTGCCTCACTTGTTTTTTCCGTTGTTCAGGGTACGAAAAAACATCTGGTGAGAGCTATACATGTTTTGATCATAAAGAAACACTCTTTAGAGCTTCCACAAAAGTGAACTCATAAATTTCATTTTTTCATTTAAACATATAGCATTGTTCGTTTTGTGTTAATACTTCTTTGAATGTGTGCCGAACAAATTACTTCCACGGCTGTTTTAGCCTTGTAAGACAAAATGTTGAGCATCCTGATTTCTTGCCATACTTCTGCTCTCAGCGGATACTCCAGCTTATCCACAAGCAAATGCGTTCACGTAATTCATGTGTAATGTTTTGCAAGGCGGTATTTCACCTGGTGTCTCTTTTGAGAAAGTATATTGTTTTGTGTGCGTCTTGTTAAGCTGTTTAAAATGATTTTCTTGATTTAGTGATAACAAATTCAGTCCTAATTTATTTCACGCTTGATGGGCACACTACATTAAATACTGGGGCTTCCCGCAGTACATTTACAGAAAAACACTAACGTAGGTCTTTATTCTTCACGCAGTTGACCAAATCGTTTCCTTTGTGAGCAAGTCCCTGGGAAAAAAAGGCTGTTGAAAATGAACTTTAGCGTATGCTTCATAGCCCTTACCTTTTTTCTGATGAGGTGAGAATCTACTTTCTTAGCATGTTTTAACAACTTAAGAGCTTGTGGTGACGTGTGAACTGATATACCGGTGAAGTCTTGGCTTCACTAGACTGATCACACGACAGATGTGGTCAAAGATATAGACGCGACAGTGTTAAAGAGCTCGTTTTGCAGATATTTCGTCGTCGGTGTGAGCGGGCGCTTGGGCGTCGTTGGTTGTGAGCGAAGAATCATCATCCCATGCGTGAGCAAAAAGTCAAGAAACATGCAAATAAAATAAATATTAAAAATATCCGGCTCCAACTGATGGCCCAAACCGGTCGTTCACGTGGCAAGCAGGTGCTCTACCACACAGCAATGCCTCTTTTTTGCTTTCTTAGACAATATTTCTTTCTTATATATTATACATATCATGCCAAATACATAAAGCTTTTTTGATAAATGTTCAATCAGTGTTACAAATTAATCCCATACCGCACTTGTTCTACAGTAGAATTGTGCAGTACGCTTCATAAAATCTTGATACCAGTCCGGCTGAAACGACAGTTCTCATAAAAGTCTAACAGCTTCACCCATTTTTACAAAATGGAATTGTGAAGACACAGTTGGTTAATAATAACTGTCGGAGTTCAACGTCGCGATATCACCTTATCAGTACGAGAGACGCCGCAGTGAAGGGCTCCAGAAATTTCACCCATCTGGCCCTCTTTATCGCGAACCTAATACTAAGCACATAAGCCACAAGCTTATTCGCCTCCATCGGTATTGCGGCCACCACGGTGGGAATTCGATAACGCGAATACACCATAGGTTCCGCATGCCTGTCTAACAGGCGAGATTTTCATAAACTCTGCAAGCCCATCAACAAGAGGACGTCGACTGGCATATCATTAAATATGAGTGGTAGAAGATAATGTATGCTAATGTAATTAATTTGCCATTGTTTTTTAAATGCTTTCTTAAGGACGATTTACAACAGGATAGCGTCCTTGGAACTAATAAACCAATGCTGTACTATTTTGGAACGTCACAGATGCGGCAAATAATTCAGGATACAAATATACCATTAGTGTTTAACCAGGTTTTCACAGGTATTGTTTCTGTATGCACCGTTTAGAAAAAAGCCCTGGTTATTGGCAAAATAACCAATTTCATCAAACGTAGAAGAATGACATTCTCAGTTAACCGAATATATAGTGAGCAGTACACTGGGGCTGGAAATAATATATCCAGTTGATTGCAGGATAGATATTTCTTTGTGCTAGAGAACAAATATTTTTTAGAGTATCTGGCTGACAGAAAATGCTCTGATTCATATAATTTACGCATGAATCTTTCCAACTACAAGTTTATGCTAATTTAGTCAGTATCACTCGATTTGGTAAAACTTCCACACAATTCACTTGCAACTATAGTCGAAGCTGTCGATGAGCGCAGCACCAAAAAGTGAAAGAAAAAATTACTTGACACTGATTGCCTAATAAAAATGCTTACGAACCCAAGACCACCTGCACAAACTAATCAGAAAATATTGTTTGACCTCACTGATTTTTATGTTGATGACAAAATTAAGGTAGTAAATACGCGTTGAAAGTTGTGTATGTAAAACAATGAACAACTAATTATTTGCAGTATGTAGAATACTTTTGTTGTCAGAGGCTGGTTGCAGGTTTTAGTCATCCGAACCGGCTCAACACAGCACTAATGCACACAAGAAGACCGAAAACTCAGAACAAACCATCTCCGCAGAGTGGCGGACGATGGAACATACACAGCGAAACAACGGCAGGAAGGAAAGCCAACGCGAAACATAACAGCTGGAAATCAAACTCACACGAAACTCGCTGTAAAATACGAGCCATCGACTCGAGTTAGCCGACGCCCCCAAACCAGCGTGGCCTCTGCTGCAGCACGCAAGGAGGAAAGCCCCATTTTCCCTAGCGCGACCGACACCACATACCATCGCTTGCCGGCCGCCGAAAATCCCCCGGGCTCGTCTCCCACCCTTTCTTATCTGCCAGCCACTTTTCCCTCTCCGTGGCTTTTTTTGCTTGCTGACGCTCGTCCCAGGCATATGCAACGCGCATGTGCTTCCCACGCCCTGCTTCCACCGTGCGTGCTGCAGAAAAGAAACCGTCTGCCCGACACTCTCCACGACAAAGGGAGGTTATGTGAAATAAACATCTGGGCATACGCTGTAAGGTGGGTTTATGTTCTCTTCAATAACAAGCGCTTGATCTAGATCCATCCTATGGAACACAGAGGTATTTCGGTGGCACAGAACACAAATAAGTAGCCTGAAAATCAATGGGCTTTTACGCACATGACCAAAACCACAGTTCCAAGCTTCTAGCAAAGTTCAATCGTGCCCCTGAAAATTTTTCGACATCCCCGATTGTCGACACCGCGATTTTTATACCAAAAAGATGTATACAAAAGAACGCTAAGTTATCCGCATAAGCAAGACCTTTGCTTCATCCGCAAAAACACTGAAATTTTAGACGTTACAAGATCGAATTACTTTTAGCCACAGTGGATCCAAGTGGAAGATACCAGAACGCGTGTCCAGTGGCAGGAGGGACTTCGTAGAAAGAACATGGCAGCGCATAATTTATGAACGTTGATGCGGCGGGCAACGGCGCACCCAGTCATGAACTTGCGCGTTTAGTTATTACGAAACATAGCGCCTGAAAATTAGCAACTGTGTCGCGATGGTCTTTGGAGATGGCTTCAATTAAAGTGCATAAAGCGTACAGGTCAAGCAAAGGTGTCAAATTGTGCTACAACAATTGTTACAGCGCTGTAATTGTAAACGATCACGTATAAAACCATTGTTCTTTTGGTTTACTGTGAAAAAACGCTGTGTGCTGTCGAAAGCCACACCTGTGTTTGGAAATGCAGTGAAAACAACATTCATGGCTTTTAAACACATCCTTGCAATACTGGGTGTTCAAAGTTAAGCTGTATAGCTTTCTTAAAATTCAGCAATAAAAAGAACATTAAAACCACTTTCGTCCTTCAACTAACCAAGACTAATTATTGACTGTATTGACTGTAACTGTCGGATATATTTGTATTTAAAACTTGGAGGCAGTCACATATCTACGCAATTACAATTGGAAGAATTCTCCTAGCCTGTCTGTGCTCCGAGATATCTAGCGAGAATGTTTATTTGTGTTTCGCTGCATTAGTTTGGATGCCAGGGCTTAGCGCAGCTGAATCGCTTACGAAAACGTGTGTAGCAGATGTTAGATGCAGAGACGCATAAGGAGCTTTTGATTCGTGTGGGCATGTGAACACCTGGTTATCTGCTGCAAGACGTATTTTCTTCGGTTCAGAGGCGTAGTGTCCGGCTGGTTGCACATGCGTTTTGGAAAGGAGAAAGAAAAATAAAATCCCATGGCTTGTATAGCGCACTGCTGTTTGTCAATTTTGAAGGCAGCTCTCATACAAAGCAAAATTGGCGTTAGTTGGATGGCCCATCTTCACTGCTGATACAGGAGTTCGAGGAGTTCGTTGAAAAGCGGTGAATCAAACTGACGACAGCGATCGGTAACTACAGCAGATGGGCAGCCGGACCTAGCAACCTATGTTGACACTAAGGCTGCTGCAAATGCGGACGCCAATATGTCGGCGATTGGTGTATCATTTGACCACCGTGAGTAGCGGTCGATGCACGTCAGTATGTATATGTGGTCTTTGGAGATGGAAGAGATCTTACCAGATCCAAGTGGAAGATACCAGAACCCGTGTCCAGTGGCAGGAGGGACTTCGTAGAAAGAACGTGGCAGCGCATAATTTATGAACGTTGATGCGGCGGGCAACGGCGCACCCAGTCATGAACTTGCGCGTTTAGTTATTACGAAACATAGCGCCTGAAAATTAGCAACTGTGTCGCGAAAACTTAGGGTTGTGTCAGGCTCTGTACAACATCGAAGAGGCGTCTGCGAAGTGGTGCAACGTTGAAAGGTTGGGGTTGGTCGGTATAAGATAAATATAAAATATTCCTAACATCCAACAGGGGAGTTCACATAGAACGGTTACTGTTGTTCCTGGCACAGCAAGCATTGTTTAAAAAAGGCACCGCTTTGCTGCCAAGACAAAGCAATAAACGCGATAGCGACAAGTTGGAAATTCACGCGCTTAATGGCAAGTAGATCAAAACGTACTCCGCTTTTCTCACGCACAAATTACGCGCGAAACGTACTCACAGTTACTTATGAACGTAAATAGGCGTATCAGTTGTTACTTCTTTGTGTCTGAAAAGCGCACCACTTTCGCAAAGGAAGGCTGTGCAATGATTGCAGTGACCTTTGTGCGCCCAGTAACTGAAACATAATTGTTCCAGTACAAGCCCAACGCCAGCCAAAATGTATGATCCCTACCCCACGGGAGATAAATGTGCACGACGGATCGTTCACTCTCCTTCTCTCCGCGTGCCAACGCACACGTGAGAGATGAGCCTCCACGCGATCATTGCGCTATAGTCTGATAATGCTACAATGTTACACCTGCATTGGACCTTTTTGCAATACAGCGCGTAGACATGACGCCGCGTCGTGGTCGAACACCTGAGCGCTAGGCGAAATGCTTGGCGTGATTCCTGCTGAGACCATTAAAGTTATTTTTCAAATTTGTTAGGTCAGCGCTGCCGATGTCATTTTTGTTCTTCATGATCTCATATTCAAACACTTCGTGAGATCCTTCATACCATGGGAATCAGTGTCAAGCGAAACATGCTGAAGGAATAAGACTGTGGTGTAATTTTTTGTTAAGCAAAACATTTCAAAATAACCATAAGCATAAGTGCCAGTTTTATACGTAAATATATGTACATACGACCACCCCACCTGTCGTCTAGCAGGTGCCTCTATGGGCTAGTTGTGGCAACTAGTTCCGCGCGGGAGCAGTGAGCGCTGCAGTTAGCGCTCGTTTGCCGTCTGCTACAGTTTCCACCGTGATTGTGAAAGACGGGCATGTGCTGCACGTGTTTAGAGTGAAAAACGTTGGTGGGCGTACGTGAAATCTTTTCACATAATTCATGTCATGACCAGCCAGAAATAATCATTTTTAAATTTTTTTCCCTCCTATAGTAATTTTGGTCGATCTACTACAAGTTAAACAGGCGATCACGAGAGCACCGAGACGTATCCGAGTAGAGAGATAGATATATATATATATAGACAGATAGATAGATAGATAGATAGATAGATAGATAGATAGATAGATAGATTGATAGAAACCGCTAAAAATGCTCCTCAAAAAAATGTCCACGAATTTGTACAAAGATGTTTTTTATGGTGTTATCGTAAGCGGGTACTATAATGATTCGTGTTCAGTGTATCTAATAAAGCAGTTGAGCAGCGTTGAAATGATGCGAATGAGCTGACATGCTTGATTGTGTACACCAGTCGTGTGTGCAAAGCAAGAGCTTCAGAGGTGTAAATAAGCGCTATCATTGCTTCTTTAGTATACCAGTGCACCTCGCAATGAGCGCTTCTGCCTTTGTGTATCATCGATACATATCAGAACAAAATGTAGTAGACCTGAGCCAAATACTTCTGAATTTTGCAGTTCTGATTGGCAGCATTCGAGCAAGCCTACAGTAGAAGCGGGAAAAGTTTTATTCGGCGACAACGAATGCTGGAAATATGTAAGTACAATATTAAATGGGGATGTACCTCGAATCCAATTTCTAGTGCATTTCAAACATCGCATAGAGCGGTTAACTAGCGTTCAACGTGAAATGGTAGTCAGTACTGTAATCATGTGGAGATGAGTGTACGAGCCCCGCCACGGTGGTCTACTGGCTAAGGTGCTTGGTTGTTTACCCGCACCTCGCGGGATCGAATCCCGGCCGCGGCGCTGCCTTTCTGTTGGAGGCGGAAATAATGTAGACCCGTGTGCTTAGATATGCGTATCCGTTGAAGAACCCCACGTTGCCGAAATTTTCAGAGCCCTCCACTACGGCGTCTCTCATAATCATATGGTGGTTTTGGGACGTTAAACACCAAGTAGTGTTCGCTCAGAGATTAGTGTACGAAAACATCAGCAAGTAACTGCAGACAAGTAGTTTGATGAACTGTGAAAGGGAACATGGTGGCGTTTATTAGGAAAACATATTTGAAACAAAAGAATGAGATTATTGTGGGAACTGTAAAGAAAGAAGTGAATGCAAAGCAAAGAAACAGATACATTTGGCAGAGAAAATTGAAGGGATCGATGTTGTTCATTTGCTCGAACCAGTGCATGTTTATTTTTGTCTCATGCCAGTCTTCCACGTCAACAGAAATGGGCGGCAGCCACTTGTGCTCAATAGGGTAATTAATGTGAATTCATCTACACAGAATTTGCATTCTTCTCATGAATAACATAAACAACGAGCAGCCCACGCGTGAACAGTCAACAAGGAAGAAAGTGGAATAACTATCAACATGGCAAGACAAGCACTGAAACAGAACTCTGGTTCTCTTAGTTGAAAAGTAATCAACGTGGGTGTGAAATTCGGAGACATTGTGGCTGTGACGTCGCGTTTGAGCTCGAAGATCTCCACTGGCTAAGCTATCTTAAAGTAATACATATTTAGTGCTACCATGACGGAATGATAGTGAAACTTTTGCACGCACTGCACAGAGACATTAGTTCGCTGGTCCTTGTGTGTTTTTTGTTTGTGTGTTTGAGTTGTGTGTCCAAAATGCCAAACTAACTAGCCCGCCTTTAATTATTAAGACTGAATTGCTTGTAACTCAGCATTTCTACGTCGCTGACTAGTAAACATTCAATACGCCATACTATTGAATGAGTGGCCAACTGAGGTGATTTGTCGAGACACTGCTCTCTCGAATGATCACATGTAAAGTTAACGATGCCAAACTAGTTATTCACAATTCAGACTCTTACGACTACTGCTAAAGGACCGGTACGTGAAGGAACTTCTCCAATGAAGCACATGCTAAAATATGTAGCAGCCGTCATCCCATTTTGATAGAATTGTCTTCTGTGACAATTGCAAGGGCGATTTCAAACAACAACGTGAGTTCACACAAACGTTCATTCAGACTACGCATACTTTTTCATTTGTGTAATCAGCATAAAGCTGCATGCAAGGACGTTCCTCGTACTGCTATGAGTGCGCAATAATATTTTGCAGATTAAATTACCCACAGAAAGTGACTTCGCATGAATCGTTGATTTTTTAAGAAATACGTTAGTGAGACTAGATGCAGTTCATGTAATTTGGCTTTCTTAATTCTAGAGTTTTCATGCATTTAATGAAAGAGCGTGCCCGTGATAATACTTGAAAGGAAAGGCAATTTAAAATGAAAGGAACACAAAAACCAAACATCATCCAAACGACAGGCGCTGAGACAGAAAAGCAAGCGAACTGTGGCAAGGCTGCTTGACCTTGCAGGTCGTCTTGAAGGAATGAAAGCCAGGAACTGTAATTTCACGGATGAAGCATTAGAGGAAAGCATCAGTTTTGCCGCATACGCGGTAGCGACGTGTTCGTGCTTGCTTTGAAGTTGGTGAACAAGCCAACAGAAAGAGCATGCGCTACAATCAACAGTGAATTCTCTTATGCTTGCACATGTAATCAAAGAAAAGTCTGGTTCAATCAAGCTACCTGGAACAAAAAACTTCTAGTGAGGCTTAGCGAAACTATCTTTCAAATATCCTTGATGTCATGGTATAACGCGAGAGTAATGGATACTTTCGAAAAGAATGCTGCGAACATGGAGACCTAGAAAGGCTTGACGGACTGTTGGTAAATGGAATGAGGCTGCTTGAGCATTTTATTGTGATGACATACAGCCAATGTGAAAACCTAGTTAGCGCTGCAGAGTTCATGCGGACCGATGGCAAATAACAACGTGATCTGCCTGTTCATTATGTTTGTGCAGCTCGCAGGGAAGTGAAGCCAAACGGCTCGCATCATTGCGAACACGCAAAATTTATCAGAGAACATGTTACTGAAAATTATAATACAAGCAACCATCAACGTTGATTAGATAAGCTACTTTGTTGATCATATTAATTGTGTCTGGGCCCTGTGAAACAAAAAAAAAGTGTAGAAGCTGGCGGAAGAACCACCTTCACCAAGAGGAAAAAACCATGTGACACAGCGTTTCTTTCAACGATAAGTGAAAATTGGATTTTATCTCCACTTTGCTGCAAGATTAGAGCGCCGGGAATACTCGTTTTCAAGAATGTTTTCAACACTGCTTGCATTTAAATGCATACATCCGCGGTTTACGACGTGCAGACATGGTTCTGCGAACACACTTATCGCTTTGTTTGTCGGAGTCGTGAGTCCGGTCCGGAAGCCTAGAGCACAGTACTGTTCGAACACTGAAAGGTGTGATAAATTTGGCCGAAACACGTTTGTAACCAACCACCTTTGGCAACCACTGAGAACCACCTCCGCTTTTCACCCTTTAGAACCCTTCGTCCGATTGGGCCAGGCCTTTTACAGGGAAGAAAACAATAAAACATTCGGCAGCATTGCGGCAATGCAGCTGTTCTGCTTTAGAGCGGTGCTTGAGCTTTAAATGAAGTATGACCATGAATATCTAGAGCGTATAGCGAGCGTGCTTCTGACGTTCTTTTCAATACTTTACTTATAGTAATATCATCGAAGTGATCGCCATGTTAACATTCCATGTTAACATGATCACCTGTAATGCTCATTGTGTGAGCTTTGAGATTGCACGAACATTTCAATAGAACCTCATTGTGGCATGCGTCACTTTTTCTAATTAATACACTGGTTCCCAATCTTTGATCGCGTCCTGATTTTCCAAGAGCTTGTGGAATATTTATTTGGCATGGTTCTATGTGCTTCATACCCTTTTCCGAACGAGTTTCTCAAAAGCGCCTATTGCTTCTTCTTAAACGAGCATGGGTATGTTGAGGGTAAGTAAACCGTAGGTGCTGGTGTGTGTATGTCTTTAGGACATCAGCGTGACCGCATTGTGGATCATCGTGAACCGTGGCGTAGATATCGAAGCGGAGTTGTCGAGGAGTAGCAAGCAGCCACTTTAGGCCACTGGAGTTGTATCTGTGGCGGTAGAGCAGGTGATCTCGAACGGTGAAGTGCTGGGCTTGGCGCCGAAGCGTCCAAGCGACAGAAGAGGGTGTCTTGCTCGAGAACAAGTGAAGAAGGGAAATGATGCAGGGGTCTTCAATTCACTTGGAAAGCATGTCGGAAAGGTTGACGGCAAAGTCACCGAGGACGCAAATGAACGGGCTGACGAGCTAAGCAAGCAAAGCGAGCTGGATAGGGCATCCACATCAGAATTCTTGCGATCAGAATGGTACAAAGTAATGATGCCGAATTTTTGCAGGCGGAATGCCCAGTGAGGAAGCCAACCATTCAGAGTATTTAGCGAAGATAGTCAGCATAGTGCATGATTTTTGGTCACAAAATCAAATCAACGTCCGGACAGGTATCGTCGAAATTTTCGACTCACCCATATAATAGTGAGACACCTTTTTTGAGGACTGAGAAGTTTTTTCAGCATTCGTGAGCATGCGGTTGGCGTGAGCAACGACCCACTCATCAAAGCCCTCTTTGCCTTGGGCAAGTATGCCACCAAGTTCGATGACACTAGCGTCAGTGTGAAGCTCCGTTGGAGCTGACTAATCAAAGTTTAGAAGAAGTACAAGGTATTGAAATGCATCGTCGAACATCTCTGACCATGCTGATAGATCACAACTGCGGGCGATGAGGTTGATCAAAAGGGCTATGTGTCACAGGCCCCGTTATTTGGGAGGCGATCGCCGGGCTAATTCCAAGGGCTGAAATATCAGCCCCCTGAACTGCACCACGAAAGCTCGGACAATTTAGAAGTGGTCCTATTTGGCGTGCCAGCGGACACCGGCAGTGGTCCAACGAAGGAGTCAGAGCCGAGAGTTGAAAAACAAAACAAAATTATATTCTCAAATATGGCATATCAAGCGATACAGAAATATGCAAACTCGACAATAGCTGTCAATACGACATGTCACAAATCAAACAACGTACTACACAGTACATCAGCCACACTCGAAACAACAGACACAAACAAACATACGCGCTACAATGCAATCACATGCATCGAACAACCAAGACACCTAAATGATAAAGAGTTCAAAAACTTATTCTGTTAAAAGTCCATGGAACAAAGTCTGAATGATACTCTTCCAAGAATCACTCACTCAAAGTCCAACACTGTTGTCGTCCACTGCCCCCAAAGTTTTTCTTCCAGGAACTTAGCGTCTTCAATTGGCTGCTCACCAACCACCAAACTTCTTCACCAGTAACACGTCAGCTACTCACGCGCAGCTGTTGCTACACGTTTCGCTCGCTGGCCGTAGACACACTGTTCTGATTGTAGCACGAGTCTTCACCCCTCAGGTGGAAATCCTCTTCATTACCTGCTTTGTCACTAAGGACAGAAGCCTTCGCCGACAAGGTGGAACACCCTACGCACCCTGGCGCAAACTTTCTTTTTCTCCTAATCACCACCCTCCGCTGCTCGCTTAAATAGCTTTCGCGCTAGATTGCAGAAAATTCTCATCGTTTCGTCGGCACTATGCACAGCCAAGGCTGAGAAAAAGAGCGAGACGTTTTGAGGGCCGTCCGCGACACGTGACGCAACTCAGCATCACCAC